GGGACCAGTCTTTCACTTGGAGGAAAGGCGGATTAGGTGAGTATATCTTTACTTTCTGAGCCCTTAGACAAAAACAAGCATTTAACCCATGCAGTGTGGGCACAGCTCCACTGTATGGGAAAATAAAAAATTTGCCCAGATTTTACATTGATATGTATATATATATATATAGTATGATAGATAGATAGATAGATAGATAGATAGATAGATAGATAGATAGATAGATAGATAGATAGATAGATAGATAGATAGATAGAGAGATAGTATAGTTCAGCTTTGCATGTGTCCAACATAAAGCAAAGATTTGATAAGTGCTCTAGTTATAAAAATAGGTATAAGCAGGTAAGGTGTAAGATATACTGTGTCTTAAGAATATTCCAAAGCAAAATTATCAGGAAAGTTTTTAGAGATCTCTGTGACCTTGAACAAGTCATTCTATCTTTATGTTTCCAGAAATAAGAACACAGACTGTACACTAAGCTGCAATGCCCAGTGACAATACTCCAGCAAAATGTGTAAAACACTGTCGGAAAAAGTATACTCTTTGCAAGTGTATCTGTAACCTAGCAGACATAAATGTAAAGCTAATAATCATAAATCTTATAATGCTTATGAAGTGTACTAAAATGGGGGCTGCTAAAGGTAAAAGGCAGTGCAGCAATGGTTATAGAGCCCAAGATAGTGTCTGTATCTTTCAAATATTTGGTTTGATTATTTTAAAATGTCCCTTCAATTCTACAATTATTTTATATCTCTTAGGCTATAAATTCTATAAATGCTAGGTTATTAAGGGGATGCTGATATTTATAATTTTTGCTAATCAGAAAAAAAAAACAAATGAAATATATATATATATATATATATATATATATAAACAACATAGTATACTTTTAACTGCCAGAGGTAATATTCATGTTATGCAGTATATAGGGAATGCCTGATACGCAAAGTATAGTTTTAGTGTAGTGGTTTAACACATCATCATTTTTTGTCTCACTACGCTCCTCATTATAACACTTTTTGTTCTAGGTTGGCTTTGTATTCAACAGACATTGCTGTATAGTCATTTCTTGAAAGACAGACAGTTCATGGTGAAGACCTGCAGGAACATATTTTTTTTTTTAACTAAGGATTTGACTTAAGTGGTTAACTGTCAATATGTCCAGAGAATCTGAATCGCTGTCCCCTTCACATATTTCGTAGCCAATCCATAGAAACATAATTAGAATTATGTCAACTGCCACATGCAGTTCTTCATACACTCTGAATCGAAAAACTGCTGTAGTGTACCCCAGACATTACTTTCTACATTCCTTGTTATTTGAAAAGAGAAAATATGCCGCAGTTGGAGCCAGTTTCTGACACTGGTGCTCTTGCCATCACTGCCGCAGGTGATAACTTAAGAATGCAGTTTAGAGTGGAGTGATGCTTCATCCTCAGCAATAACACTCATTGCTGTCTGCTAAGAAAAGTTTCCATAAGCTGCATTGCATGTCTAAATGTGGCTAAAGCATTAAAACCATTAATTCAGGTGGTTTAACAAAATGTTTTAAACTGTGAAAAAATAACTTTTTAAAAAAATGTCTGTTGTTTCTGACCCTCAAAACAGCATTTTTTTGTATGTCTCCATTTTGCTGAGGCAGGATGTGTAATATATTGTGTTTTCCCTGTGGATTGATCTTTATGGTATAATGGACCCTTGTCATTGTCAATGTCAAAAAAAAAAAATCCACACACATACATAACCTTATTCACTAAGCTCTGAGGAAAATTCTCTTGCAAAGTGCAAAGTGCCAATAGCTCCTGCTGTTTTATCTCAGCCAGTGAGGAGTGAGAGACCCGAGATAGTCTCTGGTTTCGTGCACATTGCTGGTTCGAGATTGGGCTCAGGTATGTATTTAGGGGGGATGCGGGGGAAGCTGTATGCAGAAGGTTTTTTTTTTACCTTACTGCATAGAATGCTGTAAAGTAATAAAAAACATTCTGCCTTTACAAACACTTTAAAAAGCCCTCTCTGGTCCCCACCAGCCTAAACAACTTAAGACCCGTCTCTTTGCTCACATTTACTGCTATGATTTTAGAATGCTTAGTCTACAATCATCTGAGCACATAGCTCACTGACAATAACCTTCTTGACCCCTTACAGTCTGGCTTTCAGAAACTGTTCTTTTCAAACCTACTATAGATTTACTAACTGCTAAAATCAATAGCCACTACTCCATACTTCTACTAGTAGACCTTTCTGCTGCCTTTGATACTGTTGACCACTTGCTCCTCCTCAATAAATTTTACTCCTTTGGCCTACAGGATTCTGCTCTTTCCTGATTCTCCTCCTACTTATCACAGCATTTTCCGGTGCTACCTACAGCTTCATATACTTCTCTCCACTTCCTCTTTCTGCAGGGGCCCACAGGATCTGTCCTTGGACCCCTTCTCTTCTTTATGCATATCATCTCTTGGTCACTTGACAAACTCCCACAGCTTGCAATACCATCTCTACATCGATGACACCGAAATATATCTCTCTACTCCTCATCTCACTTCTTCAGTCTCCTCTTGCATTACTAACCTAATAACGGACATATCAGCAGGGATGTCACACCACTTCTTTAAACTAAATCTTTATAAAACCAAGCTTGTTATATTCCCCCAAACTGTGGCCTCCTCCTTGACTTTTCCATCAAGATTAGTAATACAGCTATTAGTCGCTCCCCTCATTCTAGGTATGATCCTTGTCCCTTCAGCCCCAAATTCAATCACAGTCCAAGCCATACCTGTTTGTAGCTAACGCATGGCCCCGCTCAAAGCTGGACAGAATATGCAATCACCCCGCCAGCGGAGGAAGAGAGGGGAGCAGAGTTCCAAGTAGTACCAGAGACATAGCAAATGTGACAAGAGGAAGGGTGGACGCTGCTCATACCAGTCCCCAGGAGTCAAACAAAGATGATGTGTTCTAGCTGGCCTCAGCCATCACTCTGACCACACCCCCTGATGCGTTTCACCCCCACCCATAGGGGTCTTGGTCACAGAGGTTGGAGAAAACAGACAGCACGGAAGCTATATATAGCATCTTCAGCCGTGAAAGAGAGTCAATGTGTACAGGTGAAGGGAATGAAAAATAAAAAATTAAAAGAGAAAAAGAGGGAAGAGGAATAAAAAATGGAAACAAGAGATGTGCAATAAGATGTAAAAAAAAAAAACGAATGAAAAAAGAGAAGAAAAAAAGGGAAAAAAAAAAAAACTCATAAAAAGAAAAAAAAATTAGAAAATTAAATCAGTAATGAGAAAAAAAATAATAATAAAATCATGAAGAGATGGAAAATAATAATTAATAAAAAAAAAAAAAATAAATAAAAAAAAAAAAAAAAAAAAAAAAAAATATATATATATATATATATATATATTGGCAGCACAGTGGCTAAATGGTTAGCACTTCCTCCTGGCAATACTAGGATCGTTGGTTCGAATCCCAGCCACGGCACCACCTGCCTGGAGTTTGCATGTTCTCCCTGTGCCTGCGTGGGTTTCCTCCGGGTACACCGGTTTCCTACCACACTCCAAAGAAATGCTTGTAGGTTAACTGGATCCTGTCTAAATTGGCCCTAGTATGTGTATGTATGAATGTAAGTTAGGGACCTTAGATTGTACACCCCCTTGAGGGTTAGGGGACTGATGTGAATGTACAATATATATGTAAAGTGCTGCGTAAATTGATGGTGCTATATAAGTACCTGAAATAAATAAATTATAATATATTAAGCTAGAAATAAAAATATGTTAGTTAAAGACAGTCACTTTAGAAGTAAAAAAAATTATCTTAAAGTAGTTCAAAAATTAAAGGTTTAGCTGTTTAACATGGATTTATCGGTACAGTTTAAAGTGACAAATCAAATAAGGAAAAAAATCAGCTATTTACCTCACAAAAACTGAGACAATGGTTATATTCAAATATCTATACAGCTTTCTTCTTAGACATTTTATTGTTATATAGAATTTACTGACTCGGACTGGTCTGGTTTTAGTGATATTTCTAAAACATCCGTTACCTCTTCAAAAGATAGAATTATTCATCTGAAACTTTTACATCATTCACATTTTACCTCTGCTAGATTATATAAAATGGGGTTACACCCCATGGCAACATGTTTTAGGAGCTGTGGCTGGAATACAGACTTCTTGCACTGCTTCTGGTCGTGTCCTTTGGTACAATGGTTTTGGAAAGATGTGGGATCATTATTTGTTCTGTGTTAGCCCTCCCTAATGTTTTAGATCCTAAAACTTGTCTTCTGGGAATGTTTGGAGATTTAAGTCTCTCTAACTATGCTAAGCGGTTGCTGCGTATATTGTATTTCTATGCCAAAAAGGTGATCCAGCTTACTTGGAAGGGGCCCGCCAGCTATATCACAGTGGCTTACACTTATTAGTGATGCCCTTCCTTTATACAGGCTTACCTTTGAACTGAGGAAAAAGAGAACAATAAATATATCTTTAAAAAAAAGATATTTTCTTGTTTTGGAGTTTTTAAAACATTTTTTTAACTTCATACAGTCTCTGGAATTCATAAAGACTAACACAGACAGAATTACCAAAAGTGTCTCAAAAGCAGTGAGAAAGTGGTGCAGAATGTGCCAAGTTCATGTACCTATCTGGACTGGTACTTGATTTTGGTGCAATACTTTTCTAATTCTCTCACACCTCTTCTGAGGAAAACTGGCTCTACTCCCATCACACTTGAGTGCGAATGCAGTTCAAATTGTTACACGTCTCCTCTGAGGGGTACTGGTGCATTAAGCTATCTATTGTATTTGGCACATTGCTTTTTAACTGTCTCATGTCTCTTCTGAGGGAACTGGTGCATTAACCTCCCTGGAGGTATTCCCGAGTGTAGCTCGCGGTAAAGTTTCAGCACCGCAAGCGGTAACCCCGAGCTACACTCGGGAATACCTTGCAGTGCTGCTCCGGGATCCCTTCTTCACTTACCTTGTCCTTCGCTCCCACGATGTCCCTCCTGCACTGTGCCCTGCAATGTCCTCCAGCTGATGCATCTGGCATCTGTCCTCCGGGTTCCATTCCCTGCGATGTCAGGATGTACAGGGACAGAACTGGCGGGAAATTTAAAAATGTCAAAAAGTGTCATTCACTATATTCACAAAAATCACATAGTAAAACATTACTGTATCAAACCATTTCACATACATTTTGTCCCGAGTGCTTTGTCCTGTGCACTGCCTGCATTTGTACTATTCTTTCTGCCTTGAAACTGAAAAATGTCCACGGCGTCCAAAAAACATCCCTTTAGGTCAAGAGCAGTTTTAGATCAGCTAGAGAACAGCGATAGTAAATTAGAACCACTTGCAGAATTGAGTGATAATAATTTGTGGGGAAATTCATCATCAGACACTGAAAACGATTTTGCGACTAAGCTCAGTGATATGCGAACTTAGCGCTATATTTCAAATTTCAGTGTTTTTGGTTTGATTATATTATTGAATTCAATTTATTATTACTATATTATTTTTATTTTTTAGGATTATTTATTAAATTACAATTTATGATTTTGTGTTTCAAATTTTATACATACCCGGGATGTTTACTAGACTCTTGTTCGGACAGATTTCAGTGAGTTATTCCTAAAAATTACAGCCCTTCATTAAAAAAAAACTTCACATTTCCATGCAAAAAAAATTACCACTTTGAGCACAGAAATATGGACATAATCAGACTGCTAGGGAGGTTAAGCTTTCTATTGTATTTGGAATATTGGTTTTTAACTGTCTCATGTCTCTTCTGAGGGAATTGGTGCATTAAGCTAGCTATTGTATTTGGAACATTGCTTTTAAAATGTTGCAGGCTCTTCTGAGGGAAACTGACACATTAAACTTTCTATTGTATTTGGCACATTGCTTTTAAATTGTCGCATGGCTCTTCACTCTAATCTTCCTTTTACATTTTGGTGCAATGCTGGTCTGATTGTCGCATGCCTCTTTCTTTGGGAAACTTGTGCTCTAATTATTCTATTGCAATTTAGCACAATGCTATTCTAACTAACGTGTGCATCTCTGAGGAGAACTGGCGCTACAATTTTAAGCGATGCTGATCTAACTGGCATACACATCTCTCAGGAAAACTGGCATTGGTGCTTCAGTTTGGAGGGAGTGATGTTGCTCTAATTGGCATATGCACCTATGTGGAGAACTGGTACTCTTTTGGAGAAAATCTATCGCAGTTACATCTTCTATGGAGTTTTACCAAATTACAGTAGCAGAGTCATTAAAATCCTTGTTTGAAGAGTTTCTCCAAAAGAATATTGACTCCAATAGTAGTAAAATTACTCCTATTGAAGATATTCCTGAGTCTCAACAACTTAAGCCTTATAAAAGACTTTCTAATACATCCTCAACTAAACCAATTGGAAGAAAAAAGAAAAAAAGTAAAAACATTTTTAAAAAATAATTAATTGTTTTACTTATTGTTACTAGTCAGTATCCCTGATCACCACCACACCAGTCATATGATGGTGATGTACTACTCTGGTGATAGTATAAAAAAGAAATACCTTATTTGGGTGTCCTTTTATCATGCAGCGGTAAATGACCACTGCTCAGTTCTCTGGCATTCTCAGAGGAGAGAGTTCTCCTCTGGATGCCTTTTTATTAAGCAGTGTGGATCACTTTTCCTAATGAAGAGAGAAGCGATCTACAAACGCTTTGAATGCTGGAAAGTGGCTGCTGTTACTATAATCTTGCGAGATTACAGTAAGAGATCAGTCAAACAATGTTTACTAAGCAGCGGTAAATTATCGCTGCTTCGTTTGTAGTTCCCCCGATTCTCCACCTCTGGGCTGGAGAATCTGGAGGGAGAACACAGATCGCCAGTGAAGGCCTTCATATATTGGCCATCTGTGTGCTGAGATGATCAGTGGAGAATATGTTCTCCACTGATCATCTCTGTTTCCTAAACCACTAATGATCTGAGATCAGCAACTATCCTTAGAATCACCGCTGATCTCTGTTTCATAAAAGGACACCTTAATGTCTTCATTTTCCTCAAAAATTACAACTTCAAAAAACACACCATGCCTCTTACTAAATACCTTGTTGTGTCTTCTTTCCAAAAAGGGTTCATTTGGGGGCTATTTGTACTGTCCTGTCATTTTAGGGCTGCAGGAAGTGATATGGGCCATCAGCATATCAGAACTGATCAATTTTCAAATATATATCCCATAGCTTGTAGACTCTATAATTTTCACACTGTTTAAAAAAATTTCTTTTTACCAAAGAAATGTAGCAGAATACACTTTGTCTTCTATTTATGAAGAAAGATTATTTATTTGCAAAGTTTGTAACAGAAACAAAGAAAAGTGTGTTTTTAAAATGTTTTTTATGTAGCAAAAAAAAAAAAAATCACAGCAGATTAAATACCACAAAAAGAAAGCTCTTTCTGACAAAAATTTAGGTAATGGGTTTTCAAAGTGTGGCAGCTCTGAAACCTGAAAATTGGCCTGGACGGGAAGGGGATGAAAGTGTCCTGTATTGCAGTGGTTAAATTACACTAACAAAATGACAAATTAATTAAATAAATAATGACACTAAGCCATGGTTCACACTGATGCGGTGTGGAATAACGCACCGCATCAGAATCGCACCCCGTTCATGCGAACAGCTGCGGGTGTATATGTTAAGTTAACAACACCCCAAAAGTGGTCCGCAAAACATGGTGTGAATACCCATGCGATCTGATTCTAGTGTGGATCCTGCACCTTTTTGGTGAGGGTGCGGTGCGATTAGAGCCATGCAAAAGGTACGTTTTCCTGCGGTGCGTTTCCTATGCGAATGACATGCGATATATGTGAACCCAGAATAAATGTCACTGACAATAACATTGCCACTAACTGATGCTGCCTGAAACTAACACTGAAAGCAGACTAGACCAGTCCTCAATAGACCTTTACATGTGTTCACAGGTTTGTGGAACCATTCTGTCCTCAATCTCTGTGTGCTCCAAAAGAGAATGCAGGGAATGCCACTTTTCTGGAATTAATCCCACTTGTTAATGTATTGCTCTAAATTTAGGAAGCATTTGAAACACTTTTAGTTGTGACAGCGACTCGTGCACCAAATTTAGGTAGTTTTAAAATACACCACTTTTACATTCTGTCGCATTGAATGAGCCACTTTCAAATTTTGTTGCATGGAAGGCACCAAATGTGAAAGTGGAGATAATTAAAGCGGAGTTCCACTCACCCTGTCAAAAAAATAAAAGTCAGCATTTACAAAAACTGTTGCTGCTGACTTTTAAAAAACAGCCACTTACCTGTCCCTCGGTCTCGTGGTGTGTCCCCCACAGCCCGTTTCACTAGCCGTCCTGTATTCCAGGAGAACTGAGGAGGAAGAAGGAAGATTATTGACTTCCTTCTTCCTCAATCAGAGCCCCAAAGACAGTTGAAAAGCCCCCTGTCTTTCACAACCCCCAATGGGGTAGAGAAAGTTAGAAACACAATATATATATATATATATATATATATATATACACACCCTGTTCCAAATTATTATGCAAATTCTATTTAAGTGTCACAAAGATTAAATATTTTGTTTTTCAGTTTAACTCATGGATGGCATTGTGTGTCAGGGCTCTTTTGATCACTGAAAACAATCTCGGACACCTGTGATAATTAGAATGGCCGGTGAGCCCAATTTAAGGAAATTGTAGAATATGGTGATGGTTTGACTAAAGAAGGGTGTTCCACATTATTAAGCAGAGCACCATTTTTAAGCAATATGGAGAAGAAAAAGGATCTCTCTGCTGCCGAAAAGAGTGAAATAGTTCAATACCTTGGACGAGGTATGAAAACATTAGATATTTCACGAAAACTTAAGCATGATCATCACACTATTAAGAGATTTGTGGCTGATTCAGAGCACAGACGGGTTCGTACAGATAAAAGCACATTGAGGAAGCTTTCTGCCAGATCCATGCATCGGATCAAGAGAGCAGCTGCTAAAATACCATTACATAGCAGCAAACAGATATTTGAAGCTGCTGGTGCCTCTGGAGTCCCACGGACATCAAGGTGTAGAGTCCTTCAGAGTCTTGCAACTGTGCATAAACCTTCTATTCGGCCACCACTAACCAATGCTCACAAGCAGAAATGGCTGCATTGGGCAGAAAAATACAAGAAGACTAATTCTCAAACAGTCCTGTTCACTGATGAGTGCTGTGCAACGCTGGATGGTTCAGATGGATGGAGTAGTGGATGGTTGGTGGACGGCCACCCTGTTCCAACAAGGCTGCGACATCAGCAAGGCAGTGGTGGAGTCATGTCTTGGGCCGGAATCATGGGAACAGAGCTGGTCGTCCCCTATAGGGTCCCCAAAGGTGTAAAGATGACCTCTGCAAAGTATGTGGAGTTTATGACTGACAACTTTCTTCCCTAGTACAGAAGGAAGAACTATGCTTTCCGTAATAAAATCATCTTCATGCATGACAATGCACCATGTGATGCTGCAAAGAATACCTCTGCATCAATGGCTGCTATGGGGATAAAAGGAGAGAAAGTCATGGTGTGGCCTCCATCCTCCCCTGACCTCAATCCTATTGAGAACCTTTGGAGCATCCTCAAGCAAAAAATCTATGAGGGTGGGGAGGCAGTTTACATCCAAACAGCAGCTCTGGGAGGCTATTCTGACATCTTGCAAACAAATTCAAGCAGAAACTGTCCAAAAACTCACAAGTTCAATGGATGCAAGACTTGTGAAGCTGTTATCAAATAAGGGGTCCTATGTTAAAATGTAACGTGACCTTTTAAAATATTTAAAAAGTTAAAATGTTGTTAAAAGTTTGATTGAAATAGCTTTTGGTTTCAGTAAATATGCTGCAAACACAACAAATGACAATTTTCAGTTCTTTACAACCTATAAAGTGTTTTTAAACTTACTGTGCGTAATAATTTGGAACAGTGCATTGTAAGTGTTTTATGTTTAAAAAAAAATACTGTTATCATTAGGAGGTTTGTTTAATAAAATTTAAATTGTACTCTTAATAGTTGATAACATGAGAATTATGCTGACTGTTATTTACATCAATTATTTAGGTAAATGAGAAAAATATAATTTGCATAATAATTTGGAACACGGCGTATATAT